CTTGGTCTTGTTTTCGTTGTAATAAAAGTGTTTTTTATTTTATTTTTTATTTTGCACATAAATTTACAATGACATTGTCAAATCTCACAATGGCCAGCGATATTTCAGCAGCCGTCATGTTTATTTATATTGGATATTGTAGTTCCGGTCAGTGTTGTATTAATACGCTAAGAATTGTGTCTCGTGATGCATGGTAATTAAAGTCTCATCAACGACACAGCTTTCAAAGAGGCTATACAGTGACAATGCCATGCAAATGTAAATATAAAGGGATGTGTTATGCGTCTCATGAACGCGTTAAGGAAACATTGTGGTATTTCGCTAAAGCATTCGTATTCGCCAAACATTGAAATGTGATACATGTCACAATATGATCGGTTATCTTAACTGCTTGTACACTTGCATTGTAATAATATTAAACTGTGTAAAGAGTTTCGGCCTGTACGATATTTAAAAGCCATTTTGAGTTGATTTACAACAGTAAGCAAGGTGAGCGGGAAGGCCTAAGCGGCAAGAACAATAAGGCGCACAAGGATTAGTCCTACCCAATCAATATGCATTTAGTTTGAGGGATTGGGCGGTAAACGCTGGCTGCAAAGTGCAACTGGTTTATGAATGTTCTGACGAAATACCGCAGAGTTAAATTCCTCCTCGTAACAGTGAAGGTGAGAAATTAAATCATAACTTGGTGCACCACTCATCTTAACAACTTTCGTTTCCTACCGTTCTTCTCTTTGCACTATATGTATCATCAGTGACCTGCTTCCCCTCCTTGATTTTGACTGACTATGAGGACAGTTACCTCTACTTTCTGTCAGTGTACGTCTACGTGTTTGCTTCAAATGACGGTACAAATAATGCACACCCGATTTGGGGGGTGGGGGTGGGGGGCTGGCTTACCTCCTGTGGTGGTATGTCAAAAGACTTGATTCTCAGGTCCACCAGAGTAAACTTCTCTGCACATGGTAACGTGAAGATGATACCTATAGAACAGATTTCGTGATACAGACAATTCCTAATTAAAAACAAGAACTAATTGTTATGGTCCTAATTATAATGGGGACCATTACAGAAGTCCCCCAAACTGACCCCATAGACGCAAAGATGCAAAAATACACCTACATACATGTACCAAATTTGAGAAAAATCGACTGATGTCTCATTTCGACCAATAAGAGGCCGTGGCGGCCATCTTTGTTGGCCGATCGGAAAATGAAAGTCATTTGCACACCCCTTTAGCATGATGAACACTTGTTTAAAGTTTCATTAATTTCCGTCCAATTTTTTTTCAGAAATAGTCTGAACCTTTACGGTGGAAGTAGAAGAATAAGAAGAAGAAAACACGGAGTAAAACCAATAAATCCCCCCATTTCCTTAGGGGAACTTAATAATCAGATTTTACATCTGGAGCCTACATTGACATTACCATTGAAAGTATCAGGGCACTGTCATATGCAAATAGAATAGAATTATGACTTGTAAACGATTACATATATCAGGGACGGATGCGGGCAAGTAACCAACATGAATATGATATATGTGCTACCTAGAGGCGAACGCTTAGTAAAATTATACTGTATACAATTTAATTCATTGAATAAAATAGGATAACTACCTGATAATAGTTGAAGAGTAAGCATTAATATTTTAGACGATATCGCATCGCACACAGAGGTTTAATTTTGTATTAAGCCGCTAGTACATTATATAGTTCAAAGGAATAGACATGTACAGTCACTGACCATAAGTATTGGCGCATAATGGCGACGTCATTTAGTGAATAAAATGTATTCCTATCGCTTTCAGCTGTATCTTTGCCAAAATAACACGTATTCTTACAAAACCAGTACCGGAACAATTTGTAGGATGTAGGAAATTGCGTTACACTCAAAAAGAGTTATTCCCCTTCCTATGTGTTTATATTGTCGTCTGCCCGTTAATGGCTCCAAAAAGCCGTGAATTGACTCCAGCCGTTAAAGAATCCACTGTAAAGCTGTCTAACAGTGGTCTTTCGGCTCGAAAAATTGCAGGGTTGTTAGAACTTAAAGAAAGAACCGTAAAGAATGTTTTGAAGGGAGTCCGTGAAAGGGAAAGTGTCGAAAATTTACCAAGAAGTGGGCAGCCCAGAAAATCGTCTGAAAGGTCTGATCGTAGTGGTCGAAATGTGCGTTTCTCGGCTATGTTTTGGGGATGTATCTCCTATTTTGGGGTCGGAACACTTACATCTGTTGATGGAAATATAAACACTGATAAGTGTATTTTCATTTAAGATGAAAATTTATGGCCAGTTGTCGCGAGACATTTTGCAATTACACCCTGGATTTTACAAGAAGATAATGCCCCGTGTCATGTCTCACGGAGAGCTAACGAGTGGAAAACTGTAAATAATATCATAACTTTACCATGGCCATCCCAAAGTCCAGATCTCAATGTGATTGAGAATATTTGGAAAACAATAAAAACTCGTCTTTCGAAACTTTTGGGAGAGGTTCAAAACAGAGCAGATCTGATCAGAGTTGTGAACGATATATGGTCCGGTTTGCCTTTGTGCTATATTCGATTCGGAACCTTTATAATTCACTCCCAAAGAGATTACGAAGTGTAATTAGAGCTAGAGGACAGATAACAAAGGACTGAAAATTTCATGTGAGTACCTTCTTTATTTATTGAGATATTCCACTTTTAAATATGCCCTCCCTTATAAGATCTTAGCGTAAACAAATATGACGTCGCCGATATGCGCCAATACTTATGGCCAGTGACTGTACATGTATCCCTATGCAATGTAGTATTGACCATAGTTTAACTTGTTGAGGTTGATGTCAGCCACGTGCCGAGACCCGTGGTGCGATTGGCTGGAAATGCATCCATATTTTCGCTAAACCAACCAACACTGCATATTTCAACACGCGCTGACCTCAACCTCATTGATATTAAAAAACGTGGCAGGCTGACTGCGAAAGAACTCTGAAATGGCGTGTGTTTTTGGCGGAGAATACAGTTTACGTGCATATAGGAGGATTTAAAAAGAAACATCATCCATCTTTCCAACGGTACTATGCATTTTCCCGTAGATCAACTAGAAATGTTGTTTTTGATGCAAGAAAGTTAGGTGGGGTCGACATTTCAACATCGAGAGCTTTCCTCCCTTCTCGTATATAATATATGATCATTGGGGTTTAATTTTTTACCGAAAGTCGATCTAAACCCCTGAAACATGTAAAACTACTCTTGACACCTTAGTTTAGGTCCAAATAAAGCTGTAACAAAAACTAAGTTCCTGTGTTTAATGCGAGTAAATACATGTGCAGTGTATACGCATACCTGGTCCTCTTGCTCCCCCGCGTACTGCCCTGCCAAGGCGAAATACGACACCTCGTTCATACTCTTGGACTACCTGTAAAGAAAGAACAGGTATATGACATGTGGCACGCCCTCTTATTGATCGGTATAGAAGGTCTATTTACACATCGATTGATCAATGGTGTTATACTTACATGGATAGAAGCACACAGAGAAAACGGCAATGTGGCGAGAAAGATAATACAGGAAAAGAAGAGTAGCACAAATCCACAACAGCCGATAGCCCCGTCCCCAATCGTTTTCTCGTTGGCGGAGTTGTTTGCTGTAGGGAAAATCAGGTAAGACATAAATGGTTGACTAGTCATTGAGCAATCAATCAACTTGGGCAAAAGTAAACTCATTGAACGGATAATTGATGAAATAATTGATCGAATATGGTGCTAAAACACCAATCTTTGCTCCGAAAATAGTAATGTGTCCAATATAAAAATACATACACAAAATAAATTATGTTATTGGATAGTTACAAAAGATGAAAACACAGTTCGTTAAACATAAATTATTAAACGCCGGGAAAACATATTTGTATTACTAGTAAAACCCCATTGAAACCGGCTGTCTGCCTGTTTGTAAGTATTTTTTATCGATTAAGCAGTAAATAAAGGCTTATTACAATCCATATCGGTCAGGACGAGGATGTTCTCCGCAGCTTTGTAGCACTCATCCGTTGCGTAGTGTGAAGGTCCTTTGTTTTCTATCTGAATTGACCATAATACGAGATATAAAAAACTAATATTGGAAATAAATTTCATTGAAAAGTTTTGATAAGATAGAGAACAAAATGCTGTACCCAAACAATTTTCATTGAATAATTAATCCTATCTCGAAAACCACCACACATATTGTAGAGAACAAATTTGATACATACACATTACTATTTTTTTAACAAGTTATTTATATGTACGTGCATTTTAACTTTTGTAAATCACACTTGTTTGCCCGGATGTAAGCGCACGGGGGTCTTAATGCGGGACATTCATGCAGATGGGGGATCGAGAAAAAAATCACCTGCTTGGATCCACTTCAATGTATCGTAATAGGCGAATAATGGTGGATCCTGCAGAATTGGGGATTTGCTTTGGTGTCCTCTATTTGAGGACACAAAAGCGACCAAAATAAATCTGCTGCACCCATTGCAATATTTGGGATCTTTGTATTGATATGACCTTAAACCTACCAACCAATCAAAATTAATGTGGGAGGAAACCGGAGAACCCGGAAAACCCCCACGTGATCGGGCAAGGGATCCCCATAATTGTTCAGGTACGATCGGGAAATCAAACGGCGAGTGCGCTATCCACTATCGCTTTTTTGACGAAATTGAAACCCAACTTCACCAATCAGATATAATGAGTCAACATCGATATATCAGAGTTCGTGCTTGCTGTGACTGCATTAGGCATCACTTGAATTCGCACGCAGAACAACCTAATTTAAATATTCTGATTGTCGTAGTCACCTTGCTTATCATAAGCACGGACTTAAATAGCATAGTTTGCCAACACTACGGTTGGTTCTTTATCTGTTGTAACTTGTTTATCTTGTCCGGTATATAAATCCGATACTTTGGTTTATGTTTTTGTTTTTTTATTAAACATATCTCCCTCCTCGATATCCAGGGGTTACACTTTCGCTCTTTGCACCCCTGGAATAGTCAAAGCAAAATTGAAGGCTCAGTGGGCACCAACTTGTGGATGAGACAAGAAGACTACTTTGATTCTTTGATGTACATTAAAAGAATATCGCGGTCCTCTAACGGTAAAACTTAATGGCTTTGAAGTCGGGTGTCGCTCCTTTGTAATCTTCAAAGGACAGGTATCAGCCTAGTGATTTGTCAGTTTATTATTCAAGTGTTGCAGAGAGCGAAAGTGAGCGTAACCCCTGGATATCGAAGAGTACATAGCTCCAGAATTTAATCTAATTCCGTGTCATAAGCGTATGGACACTGAGATAGACACGAAAAGACTTTTATATCTTGTAAGTATTATTATTTTATTCGGGTAAAGGTAATATATCACATACATAAGTACAACATATATAAGAGATAATATAGCAATTTGTTTCAGTTTGAAATTAGATTGTAAAACAGGAAAATATTAAATTGATTGACCAGAATGTTCAACGATTTTCAAACTTAAATTAGTTAGACAGTGAAGACATTAGAATTTAGCCTTGATGTAACCCATAAAGCCTCTTTAGGCTTATTTCCATAGGGCTCTCTGTTCATTACATTTTACGTGATGAAATATATTTCTCCCACGACCCCAATAGGTTTCCTTATTCCTGACTCATTAGATAAACCTGCTAGAAAATGGTAAACATTTTTGGCTAGTGGCTAACATCGTGGACGTGATTTCAATGGTCAATCTTCTAATAATGACGTCAAGTAACAATGCTTAACAGTGGGAGAAAAAGGCCCCCTCAACTCGTAGTCGTAATGGTTGATAGTTAGAGGTTATTATATGACCATTTTGATATCATATCCCTTATCAGCCCGAGAGTGATGTATAAACGGTGGGTGTTGCCCTCCTGGGGGCAGAGGGGCAGGGCCAAACATGGGAAAAAGAGGTAAAACCTTTAAAATCCTTCTTCTACCGTAGGGATTAAGGGATTTTATTCTAATTTAGTCTAGAGCATCATTGGGCCAAGAGAACACAATTTTGTATAAACAGTAGGTGTGGCCCCCTTGGGGGTAGTGGGGCGGGGCCGAATAGGGGAAATAGAGGTAAAACATTTAAAATCCTTCTTCTACCATAGGGATTAAGGGATATCCTGAACTAGTCTGGAGCATCCTTGGGCCAAGGGAAAACAATTTTGTATAAACGGTGGGTGTGGCCCCCTGAGGGCAGAGGGGCGGGGCCAAACAATGGAAATAGAGGTAAAACGTTTAAAATCCTTCCCTACCGTAGGGATTAAAGTATTTTATTCTTATTTAGTCTCGAGCATCTTTTGGCCAAGAAGACTCAATTTTGTATAAATGGTGGGTGTGGCCGCCCTGGGGGCATAGGGGCGGGGCCAAATAGTGGAAATATAGGTAAAATCTTTTAAATCCTTCTTCTACCATAGGGACTAGGGGATTTTATTCGTATTTAGTCTGTAGCATCATTGGGTCAAGAGGACTCAATATTATATAAACGGTGGGTGTGGCCACCCTGGGTCCAGAGGGACGGGGCCGAATAGGGGAAATAGAGGTAAAACCTTTAAAATCCTTCTTCTACCAAAGGGATTAAGGGATTTTATTTCAATTTCGTCTCGAGCATTCTTCGGCCAAAGGGAATCAATTTTGTATAAACGGTGGGTGTGGCCTCCCTCGGGGCAGAGGGACGGGGCCCAATAGGGGAAATAGAGGTTAAACCTTTAAAATTCTTCGTCTACCATAAGAATGAAGGGATTTCATCCTAATTTGTTCCTGAGCATCTTTGGGCAAAAGGGACTCAATTTTGTATAAAAAAGTGAGTGTGCCCCCCGCCCCCCAGTGGAAACATAGCAACTTCTTCAGAATCCTCCTTTTTCTGTAGGAATGACAGGATTTTGTCCAATTGCATATAAATATAACTCCTGATTAACCATGAAATAATGTACAGCAACATCTGGCTATTTCATCTTCAATTTTGCTAACATTTCCATGTGAGCGATACAGGCCTCTTGTTCCTGACTCATCTTCAGGAATGTAACCGTCACGGTTCGTCACGGGTTTAATTATGACCCAAACGTACTCGATTCTTAAATATATTACAAAGTGGCAGATTTTGATTATAGATAATATTATGGTCGCCTGCTAGCTTCGCGCTAGAGGGAATTTCCTTTGAACTAAATCGGTAAAGTGGAAACACTTACTTTCTTTAATTTCCTGCTACAACTGTATAATTCCAAATTTTATTTTGTACTTCGTTACAGGTTCTGTGACTTAAAAACAGCTGTTCATGGAACAATAGGCCATTGTCGTTCGAGTTGCCTCCCATTGCATTGATTGCATAAACGAAAGTCCCCATGAAAATATTTATATTATTATATTTGTTTATTGTTTATTATTTTAAGTAATACAATTTTTAAAAATAAATAAATTTAAGCTACAGTACACATAACCATTTCCACAACAGTGACACGTTAAACTATCATCTGAACTACCTACTAAGTATCGACGACTCTGACAAAGCTCAAACTGACAAGGTGAGGTATTTCTGTTTCATATGCCTCACACTCTACTTTATCATTTTGTTTCATGCATCTCTTTTCATTTACTTTGCCTACTGTAGAGCTATTGATTGTGCCACTGAAACGAAAATTAACACGCTGTGATTTAACTGAGTATTTTATCTGACGACATTTACATCTGAAACTGAAGCGAAACCGGCATTGGAGTTTTATTCTTTTGAAAACTATTAGGTCGACGCATGAATTCTACAATTACATTCAAGGATACTTACCTGATTTGTGTTTTCTCTATTCTGTTAACGACATTGCCATCAAATATCGACGATATGCAACATCAGAAGTCCGCAACGCAAAAGATTTAAAAACTATGACGTTATGAATTGTGCATAAAGCGTCATAATGATTATGACGTCATTTATTTCCATAATTTAATGTCTCAAATTTGGCGGGAGCTGAGAGTACAGAAAAGGTGGGACTAGCCTGTTTTGACCTGTCATGACTAGGAGTATTGTACGTACATGTAGTTACAAAATATACGCCCTTTTTACTTTATATTTATAAACATATTTTATCGCAAAAATACAGCACAAGATCTAGTACAAGTCTTATTGATATGTCTGCTAAAAATTGGAGTAATTTTGCTTGTGTGCTCATTTCTTACTCTACCAGATGCAATGTTCGACTTCCAGTCACCCGTTTATTAAGTTTCTCGTAATGCATACTCTACATCCTATCAACCACAAAGCCAAAGAAAATGCCAAAGCAGTTCCGAATGAAATCCGTTACGTCGTTCGTTACGTGTGCTTAATGTCAAAATTGTCAAGTCATCTGGCCGAGAAGATTAATAATTCCTCAATGTCACGGATATTTATATTAAAGCCGTACTATCGAGATATTTTTTATTTGTTCGGACCGATTACAGATTTGGATCTGAAAGTCTTTCTTATCACAGTAGTATTTTTTTATTTTTGTGTCCATACTGACTAGTTTGAAAAATATAACTACCATCTGGTTATATTTTGGAAAACTATCTTTGACATACGTCTGCACTTATAACCACCGACACAACCTTGCAGGCAAACATCAAGTTCGGATGACATTCGCATGGACTGTAAATGTCATGGCTCACGTCCTTAGGTCATTATTACTCCAAAAACGGCATAAATTAATTTAATTTAAGCATAAAATTTATTTGATTTAAGCATAAAATTGATTCCAGATGCGGTGTATAGACATCATGAACGCCCAATGCATTACAGGAAAACAAAACATGAACCGCTAACTCGAATGCGGTTTAAATGATACAGACGTTACCTGCGCTAGTTATGGGGCTGAGGGACGGTACTAAACAGGGATAATTTTGCCATGTTGATTTTAACAGTTTCTTCTCTGGAACTATTAGATTGATATCAACCATATCTAGTTGGTATTATTTGTTGGTGGAGATATGTCTGACCCCATTCCTGGAGACAAAGTCCTTGGATCACGACTTTGAAACAGTTTAGACCCCTACCAAATAACTAAAGAGATGAAATTACTGGGCACAAACACACAACTACAGTCCTAATATTAGCATTGACCCCAGTTCTTGGCACAACCGTACGGAATTATTTGTTGGGTCACAACTTAGTAGCAGTTGAGATCTCCACCACAAAAATCTGGCACGTCCTTAAATGACTGAAGCTGTTAATAGGTTGTAGAACACCAACAAATCAAACCTGGGTCAACCCCCACCCATAGGCACTTAGTCTTGCTGAGCATGAAAATTCGGATGCACATGTGCTACCTGGATCGGCACCTGGGGTCGGCTCTATCCATGGATTCTTATTTGCATTATTACTTTTAATGGTAACATTTTGCCGTGATTGCTTGAAACTCCATGCGAGCAATACAACCCTCTGGGCATCTTGTGCAATTAAAATTTATAGATAAGTCCATTTTCTGTCCTGACAGCCCATATGCATAAAGCCTGAAGAAAGTGATCCAGTCATGATCATGTCGATGTCTCGTTATACAATAGACAAATGGAAATTCAATTATCTGTTACTGGTAAATCATATGAATTGCTCGAGGAAGATAGAAACTCAGCCGCTGGCAAGGTCAACTATTACTGAAAATGATGACGTCAAGAGACATCAGACCCGAACCACTTTAAATGTTTACATGTCAATGTTCTAGTATATTTACAATTCTCTTTGCTTTAATACACATTCTTTTATAACGCACGGAGCAAACGAACTTCAATGCGCCATTGACTTTAAATTACTTTGACACAGGTAAGACTTAAACATTGGACAAAGGTTTATTAACAAAGCGGATTTCCTCATCTTAAAATCGTTATGTTTGCTACTTTATGTTTGGAATATTCATATCGTTAATTTGTTCATTAGTCAAGTGTGACAGTCTAGTATAATTTTAACATCTAATGGGACTCCGGTGAAAAGTCCGTAACATTATAAGTACTAATGGTAAATGACGTAGTCACGAGGTATAGACACGTTGACCATTATGCCATTCAGATGGTTTCGTAACACAGAATCAACTTAACCATGAACAGATTCAGCCATTTATTTCTCTGAGATTTTTCAAATTGAGTTCAGTTAAAATTATCGTTTGTGTTTTTCTTGACAGACTGGGGCACCATATTATGTACAGGCTGCTGTTTAATTTAGAATGCGTGGACTGATTGCTGTGTTGTGTCTGTCTACGGTATGGGGGTACCGTCATTTCCAGGACGAGATTCCTAATGGCGGAAATGTGCCACACCCGTGTATGGCCAACTACATATGGAAGGGCGTTGGCCACCTGAACCCCCTCGGAGGAGGTGACAGAAACCCGTTTGGATTAGAATTCAAGAACGCTGGAATGGTAGGCATATATTAATCTTTAAATGTTTATAAACATGGCATGTGATTACATTCTTTGGTTAATAACTGGTTTTCAATTGCGGTCAAACATTTCCTCAGTGTATGAAAAATATGTAATTACTGATACATGTATCTATATGATAGTTAATACAATTGGCGACTCTTTTTTTTACAGACATGGACAAAAGCCCTGTGTGAGATGGACTCGGACGGGGATGGAATAACTAACGGGGAGGAACTAGGAGACCCGGATTGTGTATGGACTAAAGGAAACACCCCAACAGCCACAACCGGTATCAGTCACCCTGGGGTGTGTACTCCTTACTCCGACCCCTTGTGTCAGGCCTCTAACTCCTGGATTGACTGTAACGCCGGGTTCCAGTGTGACGCCCTCAGCGATGTTGGTACGTTTTAATATACATTATTTTTGCAAATTTTGTTTGATGAGGCAGGTAACGAACAATTCATTTTTTGCAGCTTTGAAAACCATGCATTTAGGAGTGTTCGTCAATCAAAATAATGAAAGTGCCTACAACTACATGATATGTGTAACGTTAAATATATTATATTCACTCTAAAAGCGTGATGTTGTATGTGTATGCTTCCATTGAAGAAAAATCAACATCATGAAGAAGATACGTGGTTGGCGGTTCAAGTGCGGACGGACATCACGTTCTCTCTAAAAACAAACAACCTCCCTTTACGGATCCCGGTTTCCCTTGCCGAAAGACGATATTTTATTTTCATCATTCTTCGCTAGATTCTGTTCGAAGCCTCCCGATCGCTTTCCTTGTGGTGGTGAACATGCTTTTTTCATCTGTAATATATAGCCTAGGGCCTACTACCTATCGGGTTTTTTCTGCATGCTTATTAAGTTATCTTATGGAACCTATTGTCGTATGCTATCATCGTCGGTAATCCGGCCACGGTAGTCTCGTTCCGTAATTCTTTGACTACAAAAGATGGAGAGTGGGTTACATGGGACAATCTACTACATTTGTTTCCGTTTACTACTTTCAGGAACGAAGAGCATAACTGTTCGATTTCCGGAGATGGCGGTTCCGCCTACATCAACAAGCTCTTACTGTATGCTGTTGGACCTGCCGACAGATGGGGACTACCACCTGGTAGCTAACACACCCTATATCAACAACGAGGAGGTCACACATCAGATTTTACTGTATGCATGTGACGAAAAAGGTACATGTACGTCTTTTAGTAACAGTGGTTGGAATGTAATAGTGTAGAAATATTTAGTTTAGACAGTATTTATTCAATATTCAAACATGTTAATTACATTCATATATAATTACACAGGCATTGGAAAACAAGCTTAGAGCTTATATTATTCCTAGAAATATTTGTGCAGTACACATGATTTTTGTAACAGGAAAACAACTTTTGCCCGCTTGAAATAGTCAAAGGACCTCGATGCTTACGGACATATTCTCACGGTGTTCTAATTTGTGACGTCATCACGTCATGTATATTTACTTCGTAAGGACTGCTTGGCAATTATGACTCCATAACATAGCCATGAAATCCGCCCCATGTATTCTTTTTGTAAAGTCGTCTTCTTTTTCTGCAGCTGCTACCCCGATAATGGACTTTTCTGTAAACACTACGCAGTCGTGCAGTTCGGCCATCCACCAGACTTGCACAGTTCTAATTGGAAAATGGAGTGATGGCTTGAATGGAGAATGCCTGCATAAAGATTTTGGATTTCGGATAGGTCAGAATGGCTTCAAGAAGGCTTTAATGCAGGTAAGATGTGAATCACCATCCAATCCTTCTGATACAAATTCGACACTGGTGCCTTTTGACTGGATTTTTTTCGGAATGTTTCTAACGAGAAAGTAGCAAATAAGGTTTGACTTGTGAAATTCTGTTCAATATTGATATTTATCGCCTAAACACCAAACAGGTAAGTTCGTGAGACAACGGAATGACCAGCATCTTCAATGTACCACCGATTTCCTCGTTTCACATAAACCGATCTGAAAAATTGATGTTATAGGGTATCAGGAATGTCATTATTTGTCGAAGAGCGAGTCCTACAGAAACATTTATCAGGTCACACCCAATGAAAGTAAACTTGTGTTTCCTTAGATTCACCGGCACAATCACAAGCTCCGCTCCGACTTCACAGACAGTTCCGGGATGACGCTGTATTACACAGCCAATCGCCGCCTGAACGATGCAAATATTATGACGATCGGTCAGCAGTACTTGGCTATTCCTCCAGGGGAGGCAGCGTACCAGGTGGAAGGCAGCTGTTCCGCTGACTGCTCGAGTCGAAAGATTTCTTCCACTGTCTACATCACGAGGGCATACAACCACATGCACTACTTGGGTGAGAGTTGAAAAGACATTAAAGAAATTAAGAGTATACATCTTATACCTATGACTCAATTATAAATATGTGACCAATAGAACACAATATAGTAAAGAAAGGACGTGATATTATGATCTTCTGAACATGTTAAGACGCACCGCGTGCGGACATGATATTGAACACATTTTGATGTAACAGACATTGTATATTACCCAGTGAACACATTCTGTTGTAATAAACATGATATGTGATTCATTGAACACATTCTAATGTAACATATAATATATGTGACCTATTGAACACATTCTGATGTACCAGACATGATAGGTGACCTTTGAACATATTCTGGTGTAACAGCCGTGATATGTGACCCATTGCACAACTTTTGACGTACAGGTTTTGATACATAACTCAATAAACATATCATGATATAAAGGCGATAATATGTGAACCAGTGAACGGATATGATGTAACGGACTCCATATGTTTATAAATGTGTTTTATACTGTCGTATGGTTTCAGGACGTAAACAGAGAATCGAGCAATATAGGAATGGAGTGAAACTAAGGGTCATAGCTGATGACAATGTGTTTAGCAGTGATAGTTCCGTCACTCACGAGTAAGTACAGTCCAATGGAGTAAACTACAGGACATGTCTTATGACAAGCTGTACAGCTATGATAGTTCTAGAGTAAGTACAGTCCAATGGAGTAAAACTAAGGGACATGTCTTATGACAAGCTGTACAGCTATGATAATTCAATAATTCAAGAGTGAGTAAGTATAATCCAATTACTCTGGATAGTATATTAAATGATCGGAAATATTTCGAGTAACACACATTGCAATTGATAAAACGTTGTAAAATGGTGTAACTTCAAGTATATTATGAATTAATGTTTATGCCTGACTGCAGCTGAAAAAGCGAAAGTCGTTACGAAAGAAAGAAAAACTAGAAATAAACATTCGGTCAAACAGTGTACGATATAAAACATACCAGAAATAAAACAAAGGGTAAGGGTGCAGTACCTCCGATGACCTTTATCTTTTCCTTTGTAATAAAGCTTCCATGATCCTATCGAGCTCCGGCCGGGGGATGAACTGAAGACAACATGCACCTTCAACTCAATTGGAAAGACCGAGACTACATTCCAAGGGAACGGAAACTCGGATGAAGCGTGTTTAAGCTTTCTTGCATTTTACCCAGCAGAAAACATGAAAATGCCTAGTTGTGTCCAATGGAAGGGAATCGACATGTGTAAATGGACCGACTACAGGGAAGAGTTCTCTGTCATCGACGGATGCAACGTGCGTTCTTTTCAAAATACCACACATCCAGATTTTCAGGATTTGTATCATAACGTTATGGACACCTGTAGACCATTCATGTCATGCTTGAAAGAATGCAAAGAGTACACGGAAAAAGTACTGAGCAAGAATGCCTGTCTCATTGGGGATGTTGGAGACATGTTTAGAAAATTAACTAAATCTTCACCAGATGTTGAGTATACAAAATTTTGGGGATCTATTGATTCCTGTAAGCCCAGAAAGTCATGTCTGTGTGAAACAGAGAGTGAAACAAAGAATATCCCCAATCAGTGTTTAAATAGCACGGGTGGTGCTGGCAGCGTTAGGGCCTCCACATTTGCCTTCATCCTGTCTCTTCTTGTCTATCTTTTGACAGTGTAAGTAAACACGGGGTGATGTGTTGACTGATAAACCAAGCGCAGAGACAGAGTCCATACATGGCTCAGCGATTGAGCGGTTACTTATTTAAATGGTTCAGAATCAGGGCTGTCTATGTATTGAATTTCCGGCTTGTTTAATGTTGTTCTCCGTTATCAGTATGTTCCTATGAGTAGATCAACGCAAGCGATATTTCGTTGAATGCGATGCCCCTATGTTCTTTCTTGAAATCAACTTTATATTGAAGAAAGAATTGATTAATCAAGCGATTCTACGTACTGGTGTTACTTTTGAGATAAAAGATAAGTTAAATGATATTTGCTTCTCAAAGTATTCGCGATTATTTTGTGATAATGCATTTCTGACTATACAATAAATCTAAACCAAATTTATACGGCATGTCCCTTGTTTGAATTGAATTGATTCTAATGGTGACGTCTTTGAATTTTTGAATACTTAGTTGGTAGGAAACAATATCACGTGAAATTATCCTCCTGGAAAGAAAGTATTGTAGTTTGACTGATGTGGATAACGCATTGGTATACCTCTGTGTACGACATCTCTTCTGCTCAACGGCAAACTTGAGAGTCTTGACTGGTTGTAAACACCTAACATAACGCAACAAAACAATACCCGAGTCTGTCCTACATTTATATTGCTTAATATCGACAGCGTATATATTTTTAATGTAATCCCTGATGTCGCCCGACCAGGTCTAGTAAAGGATACAGTGGTCATCTAGTTAGATATTTGGCAACAATATGTGCCAAACACAACCGTTTTGTCCAGTCAGATCCGTGTTTAGAAATATTCATCAGGGCACCACTAGACTATAGTCTATGGTCATATCGGATCACGTGCTGCTCTAGAAAAATGTGTTCTTGAAGCAAAAAAAACCCATCAACCACCAAACGGTCAAATGCTCAGATTGTCAACGGCAACCTATGTTGTCTTGGCGGCAAAACGGGATAGATATCGAGTGTAACAACGTTACTTCTCAAATGCCACAAATGAATAGTTTTTACATATTCGTAATATTAGCCCTCAAACACATTTAAGTTTAGTGACTGTGACTTGCGCCTTGATAATGTTGATTGCTATTGGTTTGTTGTCACTACCCGGTTTACTCTTTGATCAAACTGCTTTTATATCTCTTCATTTTGAGGGAAGATGATGATCCATTTACATTTTTCATATCTACATGAGCCCGGAAATAGAACAAGGTTTATAGGTATAATAGACACAACATAAATACTGACCACTGACTAGACTCCCGATAAAGGTACCGACAGGACAACATTCAAAACTGACCAATAACAAACGGAGCTAACCAGACAAAGAGGACAAAATAAGGATGTAAGCAATCGATCAACAGCAGTCAAATACAGATACATATAGTGTACCATAATACTGAAATAATGTAGACAATCTTTGTCTCGACCACAGTGCTCCTTTATTATTTTAGCTTAGTCTTTCTCGATACTATACGCTATTTTCAGATTTTGCCTAATCTACGAAATGCTGCTATAGCTCCAGCAACCCTGATCCCTTCTCCACCTTTCTGTTGCTATACACAACATTTTCTAGATAACAAAATCACTACTTCGTCCAGTTCTTCTCTATTCACTCTAACTGATTTGTTGGTGTTACGACTGTTCATTCATACATGTACTTGTGGTTTTTTTTTCTTATTTTTTGTTTTGTTTTTGTTTCAAGTTCCTTTTCATTTTGCATGGCTTCTCCTGTATGTGTTAATTGTGTAAGTTCAAAAGACTGTTGTACAATGCAAAGTTCATATCCTAAAGCGTATTTATTAACGTAGTAATGTGTTGTTTAAACAAGCGTCGATCTCGAAGAAAGCAGCTGGAAGAGTATTCATCATGTTAGATCGGCTATATGTAGTGTAGCGAAAATAAACCACACAAGAGAATACTGAACTCAAAATCGATAAAAAAATAGGGCAAAATATGAACGTAAGACAGATTTTCATGGATGCCCTGGAAAACATACCAGATGTTCCGGAAGGGTAGAGGGCTTCTATTTCATCGACGACACCTAACGCGTAAATCTAGGTATAATCTCGGTACTGTCACGTCCGTATAGTCGGGTTAGTGGCAACAAGATAACAGAGCACAATAATAAGCATATTAAAATCAATTGACCTTCATATCAACCAAAGAAATATCCTTTTTCCTAATGAGATCATGATGGTGACAGGAAAACCTTTCCGTGATCTTCATCATCTTGCAATTTCGGAAATCCCGTGTTGTCCTTCGGCAATTGACATCTGTCATGGGAGTAATAATATGCAGAGCAAAGTTTTGAATACCGAATCGACTGCAACACGTTTACATGAGGACACCATTTAAACAATATATCCGAGATAACTTTTCCGACATTTATAAGTATTTAACCTGGCCATTTATCGTGTCAATGACCGGGTGTTACATTGACGTGCAACTTATAAATCATATTATCGACATAGGAAACATCTTTGCTAAGGTTTGGTAAACTACCCTTTCTAAATTATTTTCAATAAATAAATAAATATACAACATTTGATATAGCGCCCTATCTAGCTAACATAAGCCACTCTAAAGCGCTTTACAGTGCATAGATATACAATTTAATACAGTCAATACAATTAGCATATCTATTAATCAATACAATATTGAGGAACTCGCATGAGCTGCCTTATCAGGCGCTAACTACTAGTCATGTGCCACCTGGCTAATATCTCCTTATGTGTGTATGCCTGTGTGTGTGCTGGAGATATATTGTGTTCTGTTCGTAGTGGGACCGTGCTTCCAACGGTATCATTCATAGTACCACCTCACTTGAATGCTACATCACAGATACCTCAAAACCCACCCCAGACCATTTTATACTCCACCTGGGTTGTTGGAGTTGTGTGGGCAGGAGAAAAACACTTTCTCTAATATTCCATGCGTACGGCGACTTCTTCGGGGATCGAACCACGGCCGCTTGCTTGGAAGGCCGGAGTGTTAACCACTCGACTAATCAACAAGTAGCAAACACCAACACTCAGTAACCTCTCATATCCGTTAATATGATCGGTCATAAGCCATGTTTTCGTGTTACTCTTTATCGGAAAATATTCCCCACAGTTTAATGTTCGGCATTGAATCTCAATGTAATGAGTTGTATACGATATAGCAAATGCAAAAAGCGAAGGGTGAAATCGGGGGAATACATATAATATCGGTGAAGGTTGAATAAATCCTTTATAACACAGTATAATTACAGGATTACTTTTATAAGCCTCAACATACTTAATTGTCGGCATCACTAAATATAAGTAAAAACATCTCCTAGCTCACAACTAACTTCCTAAATAGAGAGTCTTTAAAATATAACAAAATCATGTCCTCTAATCAATCATCGAAATCCGCCATTTCACTGATGCAATCTGCCTTATGGTTTCGTTCTTTGATATCCGATGTACATTTAGTGGTTGTGTAACTACGATATTTATTTCTACATTCATGTAACCACTGCCTTTGTACAACTCTAACTACCCGTCAATCACTCCGTAGTACTCCCCTCCAGCGATGTACAGTAACAATGTACCATGTTAACGTTCCATAGCTTTAGGCTACTTCCACATGGAAACCGTCGCTTTTCATTTTGTGTAAACATCTTATTAAAGACATTATCAGAATACGGATCGACACCAAAACTGAAGGTACGACATAATAAAGACCCTAAATTTGAAAGTACGACACCAGCACTGCAGACACAACATAAGGCAGAACACTAGCACCGAAGGTACAATACGAGGTAAACACAAGACCTGCAAGTATGACATAAGTGACACACCAGCACCGAAGGTACAACACAAGGCAGACAACAGCAGTGCTAGTGCTCAGCAACAGCACTACAGGGTCCCAACATAACTGAGGGTACGACAAAAGTACGACACTAAAACTGAAAAAGACTTAAGGTACGACAACGGACTTGAAAGTACGACATCAGAGAGACACTAGCACTGAAAGTACGACATAACATCAAAACCAATATTGACAGGACGATATAAGGTCAAAACCAACACTGACAGGACCACACCAGCACTAAAAACTACAACATAAGGTATGACAATAGCACTTCAGATACATCATAAGGTATGCAACTAGCACTGTAGGTACAACATAAGGTATGACAGTAGCACTGCATGTTCAACATAAGGTATGACACTAGCACTAGAGTACAACACGAGGTATGACACTAGCACTGATGGTATAACATAAGGTATGACACTAGCACTGAAGGTATAACATAAAGTATGACACTAGCACTGAAGGTATAACATAAGGTATGACACTAGCACTAAATTACAACACGAGGTATGACACTAGCACTGAAGGTATAACATAAGGTATGACACTATCACTGAAAGTATAACATAAGGTATGACACTAGCACTAAATTACAACACGAGGTATGACACTAGCACTGAAGGTATAACATAAGGTATGACACTAGCACTGAAGGTATAACATAAGGTATGACACCAGCACTGAAGGTATAACATAAGGTATGATACTAGCACTGAAGGTATAACATAAGGTATGACAGTAGCACTAGAGTACAACACGAGGTATGACACTAGCACTGAAGGTATAACATAAGGTATGACACTATCACTGAAGGTATAACATAAGGTATGAAACTATCACTGAAGGTGTAACATAAGGTATGACACTAGCACTAGAGTACAACTCGAGGTATGACACTAGCACTAGAATACAACATAAGGTATGACACTAGCACTGAAGGTATAACATAAGGTATGACACTAGCACTGAAGGTATAACATAAGGTATGACACTAGCACTGAAGGTACAACATAAGGTATAACACTAGCACTAGAATACAACATAAGGTATGACACTAGCACTGAAGGTATAACATAAGGTATGGCAGTAGCACTGGATGTACAACACAAGGTATGACACTAGCACTAGAGTACAACACGAGGTATGCCACTAGCACTGAAAGTATAACATAAGGTATGACACTAGCACTGCATGTACAACATAAGGTATGACACTAGCACTGAAGGTATAACATAAGGTATGACACTAGCACTAAATTACAACACGAGGTATGACACTAGCACTAGAGTACAACACGAGATATGACACTAGCACTGAAGGTATAACATAAGGTATGACACTAGCACTGAGGTTGCAACATAAGGTATGACACTAGCACTAGAGTACAACATAAGGTATGACACTAGCACTGAAGGTACAACATAAGGTATGACACTAGCACTGAAGGTATAACATAAGGTATGGCACTAGCACTGAGGTTGCAACATAAGGTATGACACTAGCACTAGAGTACAACACGAGGTAAATACAAGTAT